TATCCAGTAGGTTTTGTACATTTTTGATTTAATGATATGTTTTAAATTTCAAAAAATCCAGTGTACGGCTCTCATGAGTTCATTTCTCGACAAAATGTGGTTTCGATCCCCAGATGGCGCAAGGTATTTTTAGTTTTTTTCTTTTCTGGCGTATTTTATTGAGATTTAGGTTCTAGATAATTGTTGTTTTTGCTTACGAAATACAGCTTAGCATCTGTGCCAAGAAAATTTTTGGCTCCCTTGTTGATAGCATTCTTTTCTAAGTAAAAAGTTCGGTATCAAATTAGGCTCTCGATTTGAAAGTTGTGTTATACGAAAAACAAAATTATCTATTGATTTAGTACCATCACTTTATGGTTACGTTTTAATCCTAAAATTTTCCATATAATGAAATTATCCAAAATTTAACAGAGCGCAGTGGTTTTTGAATTCAATTAACACGTGTTTCGATGAAAGAATAAACACAGATGTCGCCTAGAAAAAATTATAAATTATTAAAAACAATTATTTCAAAAACCGTTGTCGCCAAGAAATTTCCAAAGTTTCAACATAATCATCTGTCAAGGTATACAGATTTAGCTGCTAACATGGCATAATGGTAAGTTTGCAGATAAGAGCCAAAAAGTCTTCGAGAATATCTGCATAAGTTCTATCGCCCTTCCTCCCTGTTAACAGTTTCGCCTCTGTGTCAAAGTTCTGTTAAGGTAGTTCGAGTCGGCTCATTTTGAAAGTCTTGTTCATTACAGACAAATGAATTTTCGGTGATAGCAAAAATTTGAAAGTTGTATTCAAAAACGAATTTAAAATTGTTTCCTTTTTTGTAGTGTGGACAATGAGATACTGATTTTGGTCTTTTACGAATCCAATGGTAACTGTAAATTATCTTGTCTTGTAGCTGCGGATGGTAAGTTTCAAACGAATTCATTGCCTAGCGCAAATCACATTAAATCATACATAACTTCATTCATAGATCATATATGAGAACCAGAAGAAATTTACAGCTGGTTGGCATTATGTTTGATGTTTATGTTGTAGCCAGCGCCCAATGAGCAGGACGAGGCCGCATTGAACAGTGAAGAAGTTAATCAAGATGAAAATGGTAAAGAGAAACCAGAAGGAGCCAATGATGACAAGGATGGTAAAGGTGAAAAATAGCTTAGCATTCATGGTTGCTCTCGTTAGTTTTTAAGAGTAATGAACGTAGTGAAGACTCTTATGTAGTTCTTGCTGATTTTTTTTTGTTATTTTTTCAGGAAGTCTTTTCTAATAACTACAGGTGTGCATTCATACATTAATGCATTTATGAATGCACTTAGGTATGTGTTCACTTTTTGAGTTCAATTGAAATTCATCTGCTGAAAGTTACCTAAATAGACCTCTCCAAATACGAACGTGGAAATGGCGTAGAAAACGAACGATTTTTAGTTTCGAATGGGGAATTTAATTTTTAGATTTCCAGCGGAATAAAAATTTTACCTATTGATCCAGTTTTCTCTTGTTGGGTTCATGTTATCAAAAAATGCCATTCATAAATTGTTCAAGAAACTCAAAGAGCCTCAAGGGCATCTATTTTTTTTCTTTGAAATTCGAAAGTTGAGATTTTCCAGAAATTCAGTGTTTTTCCATATTTCATTACTCTTTTCCAATCTTCGATTGGCTATGTTTTATTGCTCCGACCACGAAAAGTCGAGAAATATTGGTTTGAAATTTAAGAGCTTTTAACGAGTAAAGTGAGAAGAGTCACTTTTCGCCGAGAGGGATAATATGCGGTCTTTTTTGGCTTGAGTAACTAATTAAGTCTCGCACTCTGCCTCTCCAAAAAATAACAATTGTGAAATTTTTAATAAAATTTGGTTTTTTTGTTAAGCATAACCGTGGTCGGATATTTGCATGTTTGTCATTTGAAATTGGTTGAAAGGGTATTATCATTTAACAATTGATCGGTCGATCTATCTGTATTGATCTTTTGAACTATTGCATCCTTTATCCTTTAAGAATTCTCGACTTTTGGTTTTAAAATTGGATATATTTTTAAGAGTAAAAGAACCATGTGATTTTCACTTATATTAATCAGGATGATTTTTGTTTGTTTTTCCAAAAAGTCTTAATTTTTTCACGCTCTTATCTGATTTTTTGCGATTTGATTTGTAATGTTTTAAGTTAACGCTTTTCCTTTATTTACACCAGCGATCAACTTAGTGTATTATTACGAACCATCTGTTTTTATAATCTAACTCGCAAATAAAAGTGTTCATTAAAAGTCACTTGTTTGAAATTTCTCTGTAGTAATGGAAATTTCATAGCATCTGTTCTCTGCTTTGTTGGTGGCTAGTATTTGCTGTTATTCAAGCGTCTGTGGCTCAGAGGGGAGGAGATTTAGCTTATTATTTAGTTGTCGGAGGCTTAACACAGCGCTCAGCACTAGTTCTAATTATATTTGATCGCATTTTTACTGCATAGAATTTAATAGCATCTATAGCTGCATCATTCTTAGCTAGTCTTATGAAATTTTCAATGACCCGTGGCGCGGATGCCAGAACGTGAGACTCAAAAATCTGTAGGTTGCGGTTTCGAATATGTCACATAGCAAAAAATTTTCCTAATTTGAGGCTTCTTCGCAAGTTTCTTAAAATCGGGAGCAAGACTTTTTTCCCTGTAAACAAATTTTCTTACGTTCTTCTTTATTGACTTCTTTCTTCTCCAGGTTTCTTCCAGGTTTCTTCCAAATTTAAGCTTCCTTCCCCATTCCAGGTTCCTTAACGGTGCCTTTCCTAATGTCTTGGGTCGAGTCTCGGCTTGACCTTTTTTTCACTATGTGTGTAATTGAATAATTGTTTTTTTTCGGCAAAAATTGAATTGTCGGACTTTCATTTGTCTGCTCAAGCTTTGTCGGCTAGGCTGCAACATCATTGATTTACTGTAAGCAACTTTCATTGCAGCTGCAAGTGCTGCTGTATTCATTCTAGTTTCAGGCAGAGAATTTAAATTTGAAAGGTTTTGTAAAATTTTTCGGCTCAACTTGGGCTTGCTCAAAGATTGCCGGCTTTGCTTCTTTTTCATAAGTTTTGTTCCGTTGCTAATTTAATAGTTTAAAGTCTGGTTTGTTTGACAAGAATAAACTTCTATCGAGACACAAGAAAATTTAAAATCGAAAAAAGCGATTAGTTTCAAACAACATTTTAATATTAAAAATTGATTTCAGAAATTTTCCATCTCTAAATATCTCGAATTTTTGAAATGCATAATTTTTACATAGTTTTGATTTATGCTTTCCAATTCAATACATTCAAAGTTAGTGTGGAAGCCTTCAGTTTTTTATAATCCAATTTATTACATGCAGAATTGTGACTACTTGTATTTGGTGCCACTTTTGCTGCATCGCATTTGCAATTTATTAGCATGTGTAGCTGTTTTATTTGTGGCTTGTGTAAGCAAATTGTCAAGGGTTTGTGGCACAGTTGCAACGACAGGGGATTCTAAATCTCCTGGTCTTAGGATCGAATCAGCCACAGCAAACGTTTTATTTTTCAAGCCCTTTTTTTATTTTTCTTACCTCACTATATAGAGCTGCTGATTTGTCGTTTTCTCGCCAGTGTTCTGAAGCGAAACTTCATCTCTGTGTACACTCTTAATCTCGACATCGTAGGTTCGAATCCGATAAAAAGCGAATGTTTTATTATAGAAAGTTTTTTTGTTAACGTTTTCTTTTTTCATTTTGAGTTGCTTCTAAACGTCATTGAACGTAGTTCAGACTCTTACATAGGTTGTGATGATTTTTTGTTCGTTTTTCAAAGAAAACTGTAAAAATTTGTTCTGGCTCAAATTCATTTTTTCGCGGTTTGAGTTTAGATCTCTTATGCTCAGTTCATTTCTTTTGTTAAAAGGCAGGAAATCTCCACTATCGAACAGCAGAAGTGTTAGCAATTTTTTAAGAGCTCATGGCGCAGATTCGAAAACGGGAGAAACCAAATCTTGAGTTTGCAGGTTCGAGTGCAACACGTCCGAGGCTGTTTTTACTTACCCGAGGCTTATTTCTGCTTTGTTTTCTTTGCTGCGTTTTTGTCGTTTTCTTGCTTGTATTTACGAAGAACAGCTTCGCTCAAGTCTAAATGAAGGCAAACTTTACTATCTGACAAGAAAATTTAAAAGGTCACAAAAAATCCAGTTTGATTTAGTTTTCTCTGTTTAGTGTGATAAATTTACTAAAAAAGTGCCAATGATAAATAGTTTTCAATGATAATTAGAGTTTCAACGTAATATAATTATTCTCGAAATTTGATTTTTGTTCGAAATGTTTCAAATGTTTTAGATTTCTCAGTGGCAAAAAAGTCATTAAATTTGGTCACGCTCAAATGCCGTGTCACGGCAATAAAAGTGCGTTGATGACGAGCTCTCAGTTGACCTCTAACATTCACTTATGAAAAAAAAGCTTCGCTCGACGAATTAATTGTCTGGAATGTGGTTGGAATAAGAGAATTTGATTATGTTTAGGCAGGCAGGATAGCCTTTCATAGATCCTCTGCGAATTGCAAAAACCAAAAAAAAAATCTATTTTTTGCGGTTTGATTTTTTATTTTTTAAATTAATTCAATTGAAATTGGTTGCTGAAAAGATAGTAAATTACGCTTTCGATTAACAAAAGTTCAGATGGCGCAAAAAACGCGAATGACTTCTTGTTTCAAAAATTGCTTTCAATTTTAAACAAGCAAAGCTTGGGTGATAGTATGAAATCTCTTTTTTTCCAACCTAAGTCTCAAATAGTGTTCGTTTTGAAAGTGTCTATTCTCAAAATGGGTTTGTTTCATCGAGAAAGTGTCAATCACAAAAGATTCTGTTATTTGAAAGATTTTCGAGGTGATATATTTTTTCTTTGAAATCAAAGGTGAGGAAGTTTTAAAAAACGGAAATCAATTGGCTATGTTTTATGATGTGTCTGCTTTAGAACAGAATCTGTTGTCGAGGAAGACGAGTGTGTTTGGGGCGTTCTGCTGCTTCCAGGATGCGTATGTCAACATGCCTCTGCAGAAGTGGGAGATGAGACCGAAGGGTCAGGGGCCGAACAACCTCATCATCACCATCAAATCCACTGTGGCCGAAATTGAACTGGAGATAAAGGTAACAGCTGGAGATTTCAGAGCACTTCAGTAGCGCTGCGGTACGTGAAACTAAACAGCCACAAACTGAAGTTAATGCATTAGTTTTTTTCAGAAATAGAATATTTTAATTAAAAAAATATGAAATGACATGAATTATCAAACCAAAGAGATACCAATTGCATCTAATTTCGGGCATAAATTTTTTCGAATTGATATAACCTTGAAATTTGTTTGAATTGATTTAGGATAAAGAGCGATGTTAAGAGTTACTGTCTAAATTTTCAGGATTTACTGCACACACAGTGCACATGTTTTAATTTGTTTGAATACTTTTGTACTACAGGGATAGAAATGTTATAGTATGTCGGGAGTGAAAAAGTTTGTACAGCGCCATAGATTTAACATTAATGGTAAGGTAATGGTATCTATTGCCTGTCGGTATTCCTCTTTGATGCTATAACTGCAGATATGTACGTTTATGCACTGAAGAAATTTATTATGATTTTTAAGTTGTGTCGTGTTGTGAATTATGTGTGTGGTTCATATGTGTTCTAGGATGACAAGTACAGATTGAACTTCCACCCAGAGAGGGAGCAGATGGTGAAGGAGTTGGCACCCATGTGTGGGGAGTGGATTGAGCCCCTGGAGTTGGTGGACAGACTGTCCTCCATTGGACTCAACATTTTCCCGCAGACATACTCACACGAGTAGGTCAGCATATGCGAAAAGGTAAAACACATGCAAAACTGAACACACTTACCTACCTATCATCGAACATACTTGCACCAAACATACTTGCCCCAAAACCGACCAAATTATGAGGATAAGAGTAAAGAAAGAAGATTTTATTTTCACATCCTTATAGTCACTTTTAATTCTGTGAAAAATACTCGAAGATCTTTGGAGCGTTTTGTGCTTGAAATAATGGGTTGGTCCTCGACGTTTTTTAGTCATTTGATTATATTTATCCTTCTCATTAAACTAAATTATACTGGCTGAAGTATAACCTTTTAGCTAATTGTATATGTTGTGTTGCGGGTTCATTTGCCTCGTACTAATTTTTACTATAACATGTGCTCTGAGTTTTGACCGACAGTTTAATCCAAGCTTAGGGTTCCCCTGTTCAACCTTGTAGAAGCATTGACTGTTCATAGAAATTGATGATTATGCGATGGAGGGAGGGGGTTGCAGATCGAAGCACAATAAGGGCTTAGCTTCGTTTGTAATAGGACCTGGAGTCGGAGCGATTCGTGTACCAGCAGATGGCTCTAGTGGCATCTGGGGTCTCCTTCACCTGGAGCAGATTGAACGCGGAGGAGATCCTCACCCAAGACCAAATTGTGATACATGCACATGATGAAATGCAGCCACTCAACGAGTCCGGAGAGGTAATTTATTGATTCTAATCTTTGAAACAGCTGGACCAGCTTTACTTAACAGAAATTTTTTTGTTTCCATTACAGGGCTCATAGCCTAATACAGGTCTGATTCGAGTATCTTAATCCAAGTAACGTAGTTAAAATGGCCAAAATTTGATTCGAGATTTTTCCTATCTTCATTACTTGCGAGAGGAATGTCTTAAACGTGAGCTCGACTTTTTTCACGTCCACAGCTTTTCTTACAAATCCTATTTGCTTTTCCTAAATGCTTTATTATTGAACCTTAACAAAAGCAGGTTTGTTCCCATTTGGCTTAGAGGTAACGTGGTCCCTTTTGCAACCTTAGATCTGGGTTTCGAGTCCCGATCTGACTTTTTTAGGTAATTTTTGTTGTCAATAGGTATGAAATTGACATTTTTCGGGCAAAAAATTGACTTTTCGCACTTCGTTTGTCTGCTCGAGCTTTTTCGGCTTAATTGCCATATTACGATTTTTAGTATAGTTGTACTTCACGTGTTGCTCATTGCAGTTCTGAGGGAGGGACTTAACTTTGTACCAGATCATTTTTGTTTCGGTTCAACTGGTGTCTGCTCAAAGATTGTTGGCTTTGTTTCCGCTTCATAAGTGTTTTCTAATGCTAATTTAATATTCAAATATTTTGCTTGGCATGTTTGCTTTCAGAATCAACTTTCATCAAGACAAAAACTTTTGGTAGAACTAGTTTTCAGCATTTTTCGTGTTTTTTCAACGTCTCATGTTTTTAAGAGTAATAAATGTAGTGAAGACTCTTATATAGGTCGTGATGATTTTTGAGGAATGGATTAAAGTGGAAAAGTTTACAGCAAAAAAATAAAGGTCAAAAAAACGTGATTGACTTCTAATTTCGAAAATGGATTTTTATTTTCAGATTTCACAGCGGAATATAAAGTTTACCTAATGATCAGCTTTTACACATGCGTAGCGAAGTGTATTACTACAATGCATCTTTGTTGATACATTTTAATACATCAAATAACGAAAAAAGCTATGCAACAGTATACTAAAAAAACTTTATTTCAGAATTTTTTCAATTCAAAGTTGCAAAATTTTTTAAAGCATATTTTATGCACAATTCTGCACAAAACTTATCAATTTATTCTTTGCAAATTTAGTGTGGTTGCCTTCACTTTATATTTAGTGGTATTTTTGCTGCAAAGTTTTGGAAATATATTAGCATCTGTAGCTGTTTTGCTGATGGCTAGAGTAAGGCGCTTTGCGAGGTACAATGGCCTAAATGCGAGGAGATGAGACACCAAATCTACAGGTTGGAGGGTTTTGTAATCCATCACATAGCAAAACTCTATTCAAGGCTTTTTTTAACAATTCTTTTTTTTTCATTTTTAGCTGAAATTTATCGTTTTCGCGGTTGTGTTTGCGATGTGCAACTTCGCCTCTATGCCTCAAATTGGGCCAATTTTATCAAAAAAAATATCAATCATAATTTGTTCTTGAAATCAATGAGCTTCAAGGCATTCTATTTTTTTTCTTTGAAGTTCGAAAGTCCTCGCCAGTTTTCTTGTTGGTTTGCGTTTGTTGACTCTTTTCCAACGCTCTGTCGTCTATGCTATGATTCATAAATCGCTGAAAATTTTCTCTTAGTATCCCGTTTCTGCTCAATTAGAAAAACTCGCTTTGACAGCTGAAAGCTCTGTTTACTTGGAGCATTAAATTCCATAAGGATATTGTTAGGTTTTTTACCGCTTTTCAAGCTCGAACTGATAATAAAGAAAAGGTTGAAAGTTTTACAGTAAAAGAATGTGCTAACTGCGAAAGTGCTACGATAACTGAAATCCAGATTGTGATATATATTTTGAATTTGTATAGTTGTTCGCGAATCAGTCAAGTGTAACAGAGAAGACCCGTAAAAGGCTTAAACTTGCACACAGATTCCAGGTCACACTCAGGTCACTCGTGTCATAACTATTTTTGTTTTTATTTCATTGATTTTAAGTTCAGCTGAATTTTGACTATTTTTTGGCCAACTTTTTGGTTAACGTTTTTTTTGTAATCCAATCGGGATTTTATTGGTTGATCACTTATCATCCTAGTTCATTAATTCAGATTATTCTAAGTGTCAGAGATTAGTAAGTGGCCGTGGATAACTTGAAAATTTTAATTATGTTTGGGATTTGAGGGATGGGGAGCGGATAGATAAATTAATTTTCAACGCTCTCCAAAAAAAAAACATTTTATGAAGGGAAAATAAGTGGTCGTGGATAACTTAAAATATTTATACATGTTCGGGATTTAAAGTATGGGGGCGCGGATAGGTTACAATAATTTTCATAGCTCTCTTAAAGTTAATGATAGTTTTTGCGTTGCTTTTGGTAAAAATTTTCCTAGCAAATCATTGTTTTTGCGGAAGGGGAGGGGCTAAATAATGGCCTTTTTGTGATTATCAAAATCAGCTGGTGTTATTTTAGCAGGAAGACTGGTGTCTGCTGCTTCTGGGTCGTGAACAGAAGTACAGACTGGCAATCGATGAATTTGCGGAGACCTTCTTCACAGATGTGGCGCAAGGACAGCAGGTGCACTTCGACATGATACACTTGGTGGAGCCATGGCTGAGTGAGAAATCAATGGAGAAAATAGTACAGTCCATTCCTGTCTTCATAGACACAGTATAACAAATGCTAATGGCAACCAAGCTCATCACTTTCTCCGGAGGAAAAAGTATAAAGTTTTGAGAACTACAGAAAATTTATCTTGTGTAAAAATAGATTTTAGAATTGCAAATTGTAAATAAGAGTTTGTACATAGTTCACGAAATGTACATAGAGCTAAAATTGTAAATCATTGAACCATATCTATCTCTACAGATATACGAGATCTACGAGGAAAAGATAATAGGAGATAGAGGCAAATTTTCAGCTCAACACAGCATTCGTTCTCTTTTACTCGAGCGGACTTAAACAACATTGCCGAACAAAGAAGTTCGTTCTGCAAGGAAAACCACACGAGATTACTGATTTCCATCTATTTACACTTCCGAACGTAGTGTAATAGCAGGACTATTCTTTTTTTTCCAACCGAATTCGCAAATATTGATGCCACTTTTACGGGCTTTTTGATAGCATATGCTTTGACATTGGATTAATAATAAGTTGATGCATTTTGACAGTTATTGCATTTTTTAATTCATCAAATGAACTGAAAAAAGCTATTTGATTCATACAACTTCATGAAAATAAAACCTCGATTTCAGAAATTTTCCAAATCATAATATACACAAGCGTCAGCTTAGTCTATTTTACGAACCTTTTTTTTTTTTTTAATCTAAGTCGCAAATATTCGTGCCACTTTTGGGGCATCTTCGCAGCTTTTTGATTGCATGTGCTTTAACATTCGAATACTAATAAGATAACTCAGTTGATGTCTATTAAGTTCATCAAATGAACCGAAAAAAAAACTATTTGTTTCAAACAATATGACAATAAAAACCCGATTTCAGATATTTTCTAACTCAATCTCTCGCAATTTTGAAATGCATAATTCATACATAATGTGGCTTTATGCTTTGCAATTTGTTACATGCAAAGTTAGTGTGGATGCCTTCAGTTTCTTATATTCCAAATTATTATGCAAATTTGTGTCTATTTGCATTTGGTGCCACCTTTGCTGAATGGCATTGGCAATTTATTAGCATATTTAGCTGCCTTATTCGTGACTAGAGTTTGTCGATGGTTGAGCGTCCATGGTTGAGTAGGTTCGAATCCGAGGCGTATCCGAATTTTATTTCATTCGAGCCTTATTTCTATTTTTCTTTTGTTGCACTTTATAGAACTTTTTTTTTGTCGTGTTCTCACTAGTGTCTGCGGAGCGCAGCTTCACCTCTGTGTTATATATTTACACTTGTGAAAGTGTCTGTCTTGCAATCGGGAACAAGACATTTTTCCATAAAACAATTTGTTTTACACTGAAAAGTCGAGCTTACAACATTTCTTTTCGTCCTGCTTTTTTTCGCTGTGTCAGCTTATCTATTATTTATTTAAATGCGGCTTCACTACCTCGCCATGTTTAAGCTTTTTCAACGTATTATTTTTGCATGTGTAATGAAAGAATCTTTCACTTTAAGCAAATCTAGGGGTTGCGAGTTTGGCCTCCAATTACGAAAGCCCAAACTCCTATAGTGTACGAGACACTACGTTTTTTTTTTCAAAAAGTTTCAGAAAACTTTTACAAAATATTTTACAACACTTAAAATTCTCAACACTTTATTTGGGTGCTGTCAGAGTACTCTCAAGGATTGCGAATCTTGCCTCCAAATATGAGTGCTCAAATCCTTGTAGTTTTCGAGATGTGACGAGTTTTTATGATTTCTCTTTAAGTTTTCAGAAAATTTAGATTTTAAAAAACTCAAAAGAATGGAAATTTCCATCCCTGTAGTGGGGTTTCCAAACTCTCAGGAGTTCCAAATTGCAAATCTTGCGTTCGAATGCGACTGCTCAAATGCTCTTTGTTGCCGAGATGTGATTTTTGTTGTCTTTTTTAATTTGTTCAAGGAACTTAGGTATAAAAAATTTCATCAAGTTTGAAGTTTCCGTCTCTAGTGAGGCTCTGTCAGGATGCTTCAAGGAATTGCGAGTCTGACATCCACATATGACAGCTCAAATCTTTCTTTTTCGATGTATGTTTTTTTTAAGATTTTGTCAATGTCAGTGTACTCTCAGAAGTTGCGAGTCTTGACTTCAAATATGACTGCTCAAACCTTGGTAGTGTCTGAGAAATTACGTTTTTAATGGTTTTTTCAAAAAATTGTCAGAATACGTAAATTAACTTTTTTTCTTCAATTTGAATTTCCTAACCCTGTAGTTGGAAGCTTTCAGAGTACTCTCAGGGGTTGCCAGTCTTGCCTCCAAATGTGATTGCTTAAATCTCGGTAGTTTCCGAGATATGACGTCGTTTTTTATGGTTTTCTAAGAAATATTTTTAGAAAACTTAAGTTTGAAGTTTCTCAAAATTTGAAATTACCAACACTATTTAGGTACTGTAAGAGTATTCTCAGGAGTTGTGAAACTTGCATCCAACTGCGACTGCTCAATTTTTTTTTAGTTTCCGAGATGTAACGTTTCTTAATTTGTTTTAAAATTTTTCAACTAACTTAGTTGAAGGATGCACATTTTACTTCCAATATATGCGGTTTTTATGATTTGTTAAAAACTCGAAGCACCAGAGGTGCTTTACACTCTAGTTAGTTCTTATCGCCATTCTTGTTGGCTTAGTTTACGTTCTATTTTTTTGAGTGATTATTTTGAATCATTTTGAATACTATGTCGAAGTTTCTAGCCATGGTACGTCTTACTCTCGATTTTTAACTTTGCTGATGCTTTTTTGACGGAAGTGGTGTCAGATTAGTTTCGGAACGTAAATATCTTTATTTGAGCAAATTGCTTTCGCAGAGTTGTATATAAGAACAATATAAGGCTTTTTAATGTCAATTAACGTTGTGAAGACACTTATAATGGTTGAATTTTTTTATGAATAGTTTTTAAAGTTTGTTCATTTCCAAATTTTTTTTAGTTCAATTCTTTTCCTTTGTTGAAAAGAAGCTCTTGAGTTTCGAAGAGAGGGCTTATATACTTTTTTTCTGTTAATTTCGAAATTTGATGATTTTTCAAAACAAGCCTGTTTTTTTTGTAATTTTTTCGCGTTCATTACGTTTGGTAAAGTAAGTGTCTTTATTAAGTGTCCTTCCATTTGCAACCAGCATACTAGGTTGCAAAAAATTAGGAAAACTCATTGATTCACAAGTTTTTACTTAAGTGGTTTTCTTCTTGATTAATTTCGATGGAGAAAAAAAGTCATCACGATGTATGACTTTTGTACTAGGATATTTTCAGTATTGAATTTTTTGGCTAATTTGACCTGCACTAATTCAACGCAGAATTCTTTTTTAAAAAGTTCAATAGTTGGACTATAATGCTACCTTACATTTTTTGGCTTTTTATGAAAGTCCTAATGATTTTTTTTTTCAGAAAAATTTGTTCCCGCTAAATTTTGATTTTTCGCGTTTAAACTATTGATTTCTTATGAAGTTCAGTTCCTTTCCTTTGGTTAAAAAAAGGCAATTTCAACTATCAAACAGCAAAAGTGTATAGGTCACAAAAAAGGTGATTGTATTTTAGTTTCGAAAGAGGTTTTCTTTTTTCAGTTTTCCCAGCGGAATAAAAACTTCACATAGTACTTTTTTTCTCAAATTGAGTTAATTTTATCAAGAGTGTCAACCATTGTTTTAGAAATTCAAAGAGCTCTAATGCAAAACAGTTTTTTCTTGGAGGGTCGGAAGTTTTTCAAAAAAAAAAGTCGGTATTTTTTTTGGTTTCCTTGCGTTTATTGGTCTTCTACCTCTTTTCCAGCTGTCCTTTGGTTATGTTTTTAATGCGGGATTTTTCTCCCGTTTTAAGCAAGTTTCATTATAATTGAAATTCAATTTGAGTCATTCTTGCAATTTGTAAGTTTGCCACCTACGGTTTTTTATTATTTTTTCGCTTCAAAGATTTCCTCGGCTTAAACTGTTTCAGTTTCTGTTATAGATGTAAGTTGCCTCAGAAAACGTCATTTGAACGGCAGATACATAATTTCATGCATTTGTAATTCGAGAGTGAGGTAAATATTTACAGCTCAAAAGCTTTTATGAGTTTTTCTGCTCTTGTCTTCTACCTAAAAATTATCTGATAAATTTTGTTTCTAAGCTAATTTTACACCGGTAACCGTGTTTCTCGACTTATTATAATTCACGTGTGAGAAGAGTTTTTTTCGATATGATGTTTTCGAATTTGTTTTTTAACATATTTCCTATTTGGCTAGGATCCGGGCTGTTTGTGTGTTGTATCGCAAGTGCTGCGATTGAGACGCAAGAGACACGTCTGAATTCCTCTTTGGTTTGATCAAATAAAAATGTTTGCATTGGATTTTTATCATGAATCAAAACTGCCTATATGATTTTAAAAGGGCTGGTTTTGGTACAAAAAGTCGTAAAAATTGTCGACTTTTAAAACTTGATACAAGATGTCATGTTTTAGTTATGCAATTTTGAGAATTGTGAACCGCAACTTCTACAAAATATTGAATTTCGAAATGGTGCTTGAATGTTAATTTTGATATTTCTATAGTTCTAAAATCTTTGGTACAAATCTTAGTAGCATCAATTCATTTCATAATCTCATTAAATATTAAAATGCATTTTTAGGCAATTCATTCATGGTTTTACCAAAAGTTTAGAAATTTATCTTCAGTTTTGAGCTTATATTGCATTTCACAGCGTCAGAACAGTGTTGCTCATTTAATTTGGGTTATTTCATCTAGCTTCTTGAGGTTGCGGTACATTTCTGACATGTAGGTGAACATCACTTTGTATTCTGGTTTCTTCCCCATTAGAATGAGGTTTTCGGGGTCAATCAACTGAGGCACTCCACCCAGCTCCCTAGATCGAGATAAACTACGCCTCTAAATGAGTATCAACCATGTTATGGATCTGGTTACCCCCTCCCCTCTCTTTGGTACCTTGTAAAATGTTCCCTCCCGTTTATTATGAAAGAATTGAACCGTTACGATTGTACGATTTCAGTACCTTTTTAGGAGGTTCACCCTTTTTTGCAAAAGGGGGGAAGTTAACAAGACTCCATGTCGTTTATACTCCAAAATAACCATCAATGGACAAAGTTTGAAAACTGGATTGATCCTGAGAATTTTTTGCTGACAAATCCGAAGGGAAATTGGGTGTGTTTTGAGAACCAACCTGGTTGTCATAACAGTTTGCTTGTATGAAGAACTGCTCATTTAAGAATATTCCAAATATTCATAGCCAAATCTGATGTTCTCATGTATAAAAAAGCAGTTTTGGCTCAACTTTTTCAATCTAGTCCTGAAAAATTTGCGCAAAACTAAGTGTTTTGGAGTTTTTTCTGGGAATTGTTGTTTATATTGATTGATTACAAGAATTTATACTGACTCCGATTTTTGAAAAGCAAAAGTGATGCGCTCCTTGCGCGGCATTTGAAGACAGTCTTCGAATGAGAATGCGTTTGGGAAGTAGAAGTGTACAATGGCACAGAATGCCACTCCGTCCGAGAAAGAACTCGTGATGTTCTTCACCGGGATTCCCTGCAACCAATTAGTTGTTATTTTAATTAAAAAATTAAATTAAAATTTTCAACTGACATCATATATTTAAAGCAAATATTTTTTGCAAAAGTCATCAATTTTTTTTGGTTTCCTTGCGTTTATTGGTTATCTACCTCTTTTCCAGCTGTCCTTTGGTTATGTTTTTAAAATTGTTTCAATGATTAAATAAATGTTGCGATGATAAAAGTTTTGACTAAGCTTCCACCCGATTTTTATGGTAACCCATGTGGCTTGGTCTAGGTCCAGTTTTTGACAATTTTTTGATTCAGTCCAAAAGACTTATTTCAAACTCACGTGTGTCATAGTGCATTTCTGAGCCCACAAAATGATCTGTTCTTTGGCTTGTGAGGCACTTCTAACTAACCCCCCTCCCCCGAGTCCCCTTGAAGCAGTGGGGGCAGTCCCGAGGGGGAGAGAGTTCCTGAGCTGGCTTCATCGGGGGTCAGAGCGCTCTTAGTGCCTCTGAAGCAAAACAAGGTAATGAGATTGGGCATCACTTTAGTGACCCTCAAATGAGGAATTGTAGGTAGAATGCATGTTTCACACAGGAATATAATAACAGAAGCAAAGATGATCAATTTGATTAAAAAAAATTTGCTCAATTTATGTTGGGACTTTCAAAAATGAGCATAGTAACTCATAGTCTAGACATTTTTGGGAATAAGTTGTACATATCAGTTTGAATTTTTTATGAAAAGTTTTTAAAGTTTGTTCATTCCCAAAATTCATTTTATTTAGTTCAGTTCTTTTTTTTGTTGAAGAGAAGCTCTTGAGTTTTAAAGAGAGGGCTTATATTTTTTTTTCTGTTAATTTCGAAATTTGATGATTTTTCAAAACAAGCCTGTTTTTTTTGTAATTTTTTCGCGTTCATTACGTTTGGTAAAGTAAGTGTCTTTATTAAGTGTCCTTCCATTTGCAACCAGCATACTAGGTTGCAAAAAATCAGGAAAACTCATTGATTCACAAGTTTTTACTTAAGTGGTTTTCTTCTTGATTAATTTCGAAGGAGAAAAAAAGTCATCACGATGTATGACTTTTGTACTAGGATATTTTTAGTATTGAATTTAATTGGCTAATTTGACCTGCACTAATTCAACGCAGAATTTTTTTTGAAAAATTTCAATAGTTGGACTATAATGCTACCTTACATTTTTTGGCTTTTTATGAAAATCTTGTTGATTTTTTTTTCAGAAAAATTTGTTCCCGCTAAATTTAGATTTTTCGCGTTTGAACTAATGATTTCTTTTGAAGTTCAGTTCCTTTCCTTTGGTTAAAAATGGCAATTTCAACTATCAAACAGCAAAAGTGTACAGGTCACAAAAAAGGTGATTGTATTTTAGTTTCGAAAGAGGTTTTCTTTTTTCAGTTTTCCCAGCGGAATAAAAACTTCACATAATACTTTTTTTTCAAATTGAGTTAATATTATCAAGAGTGTCAACCATTGTTTTAGAAATTCAAAGAGCTCTAAGGCAAAACAGTTTTTTCTTGGACCACAGCGTCAGAACAGTGTTGCTCATTTAAATTGGGTTATTTCTTCTAGCTTCTTGAGGTTGCGGTACATTTCTGACATGTAGGTGAACATCACTTTGTATTCTGGTTTCTTCGGTATTTTTTTTTGGTTTCCTTGCGTTTATTGGTCTTCTACCTCTTTTCCAGCTGTCCTTTGGTTATGTTTTTAATGCGGGATTTTTCTCCCGTTTTAAGCAAGTTTCATTATAATTGAAATTCAATTTGAGTCATTCTTGCAATTTGTAAGTTTGCCACCTACGGTTTTTTATTATTTTTTCGCTTCAGAGATTTCCTCGGCTTAAACTGTTTCAGTTTCTGTTATAGATGTAAGTTGCCTCAGAAAACGTCATTTGAACGGCAGATACATAATTTCATGCATTTGTAATTCGAGAGTGAGGTAAATATTTACAGCTCAAAAGCTTTTATGAGTTTTTCTGCTCTTGTCTTCTACCTAAAAATTATCTGATAAATTTTGTTTCTAAGCTAATTTTACACCGGTAACCGTGTTTCTCGACTTATTATAATTCACGTGTGAGAAGAGTTTTTTTCGATATGATGTTTTCGAATTTGTTTTTTAACATATTTCCTATCTGTTTACAACTCAGTGGCTTTCGCCTTATTTTTTTGGCTAGGATCCGGGCTGTTTGTGTGTTGTATCGCAAGTAATGCGATTGAGACGCAAGAGACACGTCTGAATTCCTCTTTGGTTTGATCAAATAAAAATGTTTGCATTGGATTTTTATCATGAATCAAAACTGCCTATATGATTTTAAAAGGGCTGGTTTTGGTACAAAAAGTCGTAAAAATTGTCGACTTTTAAAACTCGATACAAGATGTCATGTTTTAGTTATGCAATTTTGAGAATTGTGAACCGCAACTTCTACAAAATATTGAATTTCGAAATGGTGCTTGAATGTTCATTTTGATATTTTTATAGTTCTAAAATCTTTGGTACAAATCTTAGTAGCATCAATTCATTTCATAATCTCATTAAATATTAAAATGCATTTTTAGGCAATTCATTCATGGTTTTACCAAAAGTTTAGAAATTTATCATCAGTTTTGAGCTTATATTGCATTTCACAGCGTCAGAACAGTGTTGCTCATTTAATTTGGGTTATTTCATCTAGCTTCTTGAGGTTGCGGTACATTTCTGACATGTAGGTGAACATCACTTTGTATTCTGGTTTCTTCCCCATTAGAATGAGGTCTTCGGGGTCAATCAACTGAGGCACTCCACCCAGCTCCCTAGAACGAGATAAACTACGCCTCTAAATGAGTATCAACCATGTTATGGATCTGGTTACCCCCTCCCCTCTCTTTGGTACCTTGTAAAATGTTCCCTCCCGTTTATTATGAAAGAATTGAACCGTTACGATTGTACGAATTCAGTACCTTTTTAGGAAGTTCACCCTTTTTTGCAAAAGGGGGGAAGTTAACAAGACTCCATGTCGTTTATACTCCAAAATAACCATCAATGGACAAAGTTTGAAAACTGGATTGATCCTGAGAATTTTTTGCTGACAAATCCGAAGGGAAACTGGGTGTGTTTTGAGAACCAACCTGGTTGTCATAACAGTTTGCTTGTATGAAGAACTGCTCATTTAAGAATATTCCAAATATTCATAGCCAAATCTGATGTTCTCATGTATAAAAAAGCAGTTTTGGCTCAACTTTTTCAATCTAGTCCTGAAAAATTTGCGCAAAACTAAGTGTTTTGGAGTTTTTTCTGGGAATTGTTGTTTATATTGATTGATTACAAGAATTTATACTGACTCCGATTTTTGAAAAGCAAAAGTGATGCGCTCCTTGCGCGGCATTTGAAGACAGTCTTCGAATGAGAATGCGTTTGGGAAGTAGAAGTGTACAATGGCACAGAATGCCACTCCGTCCGAGAAAGAACTCGTGATGTTCTTCACCGGGATTCCCTGCAACCAATTAGTTGTTATTTTAATTAAAAAATTAAATTAAAATTTTCAACTGACATCATATATTTAAAGCAAATATTTTTGCAAAAGTCATCACTTGACTTTGTAAAACCAACTCTAGGTATAAAACTTTTAGAGTATTGACCCTAGTTAAACAAAATAAGAACTGTAAATCAAAATTTCTTATAATTCGCAGTCTGTATCAAGATGGCCTGTTTTGCATTGTTTTTCCCCAAAATATTCCCGTGCCAGGTATAGTTTGTCAGTCAGACAAATTTCAATAATAAACAACTGTTTCGATGATTACCCTTGCGATAAGCAACGGTATTGCAATCAGGTACTAGACGTTTTTTCCCGTAAATAGTTTTGTTCACATGACTCTTCTGGAATCATTCTAGTAAGCATTCCAAACTCATTTAGCCTGGTAGTAACGAATACTCCTAGGAAGGTAAATTTCCTTGGTTCGAATCTTATCAGGACCTGTTTTTACAACGGTATGTATTCTGTTTCAAATTATTTGTTGCATATCTTTTGACGGCTTAGCCGCCTTATCTTGAAATTGTTTTTTTTTACTAAGCGCTTTTTTGTTGCTTTTAGCGTTTGATTTACTTCTGCTGTTCGAAATTTTAACTGCCTTGACTTCGTATTTTTTCTTTTTTTGTTTTGCTTTTAAGTATTTAATCCCAAATTTATTCGGCCTATTCTTTTTATCGTCTTAGTGATCTAATTTTGTGTCGTTCAGGGGAAACAAAATTTTTCTTGGTGGTTGTTTTTTTTACCACTCGGTTTGTTGAAAGTTTTTTTTGTATTTTTTGGCCTAAAACGCTTTGGCCTATAATATATCGGCTTAGGCTTCTTTTTGAATTATTTGAAGAGCAAAAAAGTTTTATCTAATTATTTTGAATGTAGACTTTAGATTTTGTTGCGGCGGAACGTGTGTCTGCTCCAGAATTGTCGGTTTCGTAAGTTTTATTTTGATGCTTAGTTTGCGTTCAATTGTTTGACTTCTTGGCATACTTTTTAAAAGTTTTTTTTTCAAGACAATATTTAGACTAATGAGGAAAGTTTTCGAGAGTTTTCTTACGGCTTTATCTCCATTTCTTTCGGTAAATTTATCGTGCGTGTTGTATCACAACAAAAGCAAGCTTCGCTTCGGTTGTGTTTGTAAAATTTTTAAAGGTAAAGGTCTTCAGTTCCAAGATTTCGGATTACTTTTAGTTTTTGTTTTTCTATTGTCGCTTCATCTGCAAGAAATGATAGTCATTCGTTTTTGTATTGCAAATTCTCCGAAGCTCTGCTTCGCCTCTGTGTAAAAAATTGTTTCAATGATTAAATAAATGTTGCGATGATAAAAGTTTTGACTAAGCTTCCACCCGATTTTTATGGTAACCCATGTGGCTTGGTCTAGGTCCAGTTTTTGACAATTTTTTGATTCAGTCCAAAAGACTTATTTCAAACTCACGTGTGTCATAGTGCATTTCTGAGCCCACAAAATGATCTGTTCTTTGGCTTGTGAGGCACTTCTAACTAACCCCCCTCCCCCGAGTCCCCTTGAAGCAGTGGGGGCAGTCCCGAGGGGGAGAGAGTTCCTGAGCTGGCTTCATCGGGGGTCAGAGCGCTCTTAGTGCCTCTGAAGCAAAACAAGGTAATAAGATTGGGCATCACTTTAGTGACCCTCAAATGAGGAATTGTAGGTAGAATGCATGTTTCACACAGGAATATAATAACAGAAGCAAAGATGATCAATTTGATAAAAAAAAAACTTTGCTCAATTTATGTTGGGACTTTCAAAAATGAGCATAGTAACTCATAGTCTAGACATTTTTGGGAATAAGTTATACATATCAGTTTGAATTTTTTATGAAAAGTTTTTAAAATTTGTTCATTCCCAAAAATCATTTTATTTAGTTCAGTTCTTTTTTTTTGTTGAAGAGAAGCTCTTGAGTTTTAAAGAGAGGGCTTATATATTTTTTTCTGTTAATTTCGAAATTTGAAGATTTTTCAAAACAAGCCTGTTTTTTTTTGTAATTTTTTCGCGTTCATTTTGTTTGGTAAAGTAAGTGTCTTTATTAAGTGTCCTTCCATTTGCAACCAGCATACTAGGTTGCAAAAAATCAGGAAAACTCATTGATTCACAAGTTTTTACTTAAGTGGTTTTCTTCTTGATTAATTTCGAAGGAGAAAAAAAGTCATCACGATGTATGACTTTTGTACTAGGATATTTTTAGTATTGAATTTATTTGGCTAACTTGACCTGCACTAATTCAACGCAGAATTCTTTTTGAAAAATTTCAATAGTTGGACTATAATGCTACCTTACATTTTTTGGCTTTTTATGAAAATCTTGTTGATTTTTTTTTCAGAAAAATTTGTTCCCGCTAAATTTAGATTTTTCGCGTTTGAACTAATGATTTCTTTTGAAGTTCAGTTCCTTTCCTTTGGTTAAAAACGGCAATTTCAACTATCAAACCGCAAAAGTGTATAGGTTACAAAAAAGGTGATTGTATTTTAGTTTCGAAAGAGGTTTTCTTTTTTCAGTTTTCCCAGCGGAATAAAAACTTCACATAGTACTTTTTTTCTCAAATTGAGTTAATTTTATCAAGAGTGTCAACCATTGTTTTAGAAATTCAAAGAGCTCTAAGGCAAAACAGTTTTTTCTTGGAAGTTCGGAAGTTTTTCAAAAAAAAACAAGTCGGTATTTTTTTTTGGTTTCCTTGCGTTTATTGGTCTTCTACCTCTTTTCCAGCTGTCCTTTGGTTATGTTTTCAATGCGGGATTTTTCTCCCATTTTAAGCAAAATTCATTATAATTGAAATTCAATTTGAGTGATTCTTGCAATTTGTAAGTTTGCCACCTACGGTTTTTTTTAATTTTTTCGCTTCAAAGATTTCCTCGGCTTAAACTGTTTCAGTTTCTGTTATAGATGTAAGTTGCCTCAGAAAACGTCATTTGAACGGCAGATATATAATTCCATGCATCTGTAATTCGAGAGTGAGGTAAATATTTACAGCTCAAAAGCTTTTATGAGTTTTTCTGCTCTTGCCTTCTATCTAAAAATCTGGTTACCCCCTCCCCTCTCTTTGGTACCTTGTAAAATGTTCCCTTTCGTTTATTATGAAAGAATTGAACCGTTACAATTATACGAATTCAGTACTTTTTTAGGAAGTTCACCCTTTTTTGCAAAAGGGGGGAAGTTAACAAGATTCCATGTCGTTTATACTCCAAAATAACCATCAATGGACAAAGTTTGAAAACTGGATTGATCCTGAGAATTTCCGAAGGGAAATTGGGTGTGTTTTGAGAACCAACCTGATTGTCATAACAGTTTGCTTGTATGAAGAACTGATCATTTAAGAATATTCCAAATATTCATAGCCAAATCTGATGTTCTCATGTATACAAAAGCAGTTTTGGCTCAACTTTTTCAATCTAGTCCGGAAAAATTTGCGCAAAAATAAGTTTTTTGGAGTTTTTTCTGGGAATTGTTGTTTATATTGATTGATTACAAGACTTTATACTGACTCCGCTTTTTGAAAAGCAGAAGTGATGCGCTCCTTGCGCGGCATTTGAAGACAGTCATCGAATGAGAATGCGTTTGGGAAGTAGAAGTGTACAATGGCACAGAAGGCCACTCCGTCCGAAAATGAACTCGTCATGTTCTTCACCGGGATTCCCTGCAACCAATTAGTTATTTTAATTTAAAAATTAATTTAAAATTTTCAACTGACATCATATATTTAAAGCAAATATTTTTGCAAAAGTCATCAATTTTTTTTGGTTTCCTTGCGTTTATTGGTCTTCTACCTCTTTTCCAGCTGTCCTTTGGTTATGTTTTTAATGCGGGCTTTTTCTCCCGTTTTAAGCAAGTTTCATTATAATTGAAATTGAATTTGAGTCATTCTTGCGATTTGTAAGTTTGCCACCTACGGTTTTTTATTATTTTTTCGCTACAAAGATTTCTTCGGCTTAAACTGTTTCAGTTTCTGTTATAGATGTTAAGTTGCCTCAGAAAACGTCATTTGAACGGCAAAAACATAATTTCATGCATTTGTAATTCGAGAGTGAGGTTACTAATTACAGCTCAAAAGCTTTTTTGAGTTTTTCTGCTCTGGTCATCTACTTAAAAATTATCTGATAAATTTTGTTTCTAAGCTAATTTTACACCGGTAATCGTGTTTCTCGATTTATTAAAATTCACGTGTGAGAAGAGTTTTTTTCGATATGATGTTTTTGAATTTGTTTTTTTTTAAAACATATTTCCTATCTGTTTACAACTCAGTGGCTTTCGTCTTATTTTTTTGGCTAGGATCCGGGCTGTTTGTGTGTTGTATCGCAAATGCTGCGATTGCGACGCAAGAGACACGTCTGAGTTCCTCTTTGGTTTGATCAAATTAAAATGTTTGCAATGGGTTTTTATCATGAACAAAAACTGCCTAAATGGTTTTAAAAGGGCTGGTTTTGGTACAAAAAGTCATAAAAATTGTCGACTTTTAAAACTCGATACAAGATGTCATGTTTTAGTAATGCAAATTTGAGAATTATAAACCGCAACTTCTACAAAATATTGAATTTCGAAATGGTGCTTGAAAGTTAATTTTGATATTTTTTTATTTCTAAAGTCTTTGGTACAAATCTTAGTAGCATCAATTCATTTCATAATCTCATTGAATATTAAAATGGTTTTTTAGACAATTCGTTCATGGTTTTACCAAAAGTTTAGAAATTTATCTTCAGTTTTGAGTTTATATTGAATTTCACAGCGTCAGAACAGTGTTGCTCATTTAATTTGGGGTATTTCTTCTAGCTTCTTGAGGTTGTGGTACATTTCTGACATGTAGGTGAACATCACTTTGTAGTCTGGTTTCTTCCCCATTAGAATGAGGTCTTCGGGGTCAATCAACTGAGGCAGTCCACCCAGCTCCCTAGAACGAGATAAACTACGCCTCTAAATGAATATCAACCAAGTTTTGGATCTGGTTACTCCCTCCCCTCTCTTTGGTACCTTGTAAAATGTTCCCTCCCGTTTATTATGAAAGAATTGAACCGTTACGATTATACGAATTCAGTATCTTTTTGGGAAGTTCACCCTTTTTTGCAAAAGGGGGAAATTAACAAGATTCCATGTCATATATACTCCAAAATAACCATCAATGGACAAAGTTTGAAATTTGGATTGATCCCGAGAATTTTTAGCTGACAAATCCGAAGGGAAATTGGGTGTGTTTTGAGAACCAAACTAGTTGTCATAACAGTTTGCTTGTATGAAGAACTGATCATTTAAGAATATTCCAAACATTCATAGCCAAATCTGATGTTCTCATGTATACAAAAGCAGTTTTGGGTCAACTTTTTCAATCTAGTCCGGAAAAATTTGCGCAAAACTAAGCGTTTTGGAGTTTTTTCTGGGAATTGTTGTTTATATTGATTGATTACAAGAATTTATACTGACTCCGCTTTTTGAAAAGCAAAAGTGATGCGCTCCTTGCGCGGCATTTTAAGACAGTCTTCGAATAAGAATGCGTTTGCGAAGTAGAAGTGTACAATGGCACAGAAGGCCACTCCGTCCGAGAAAGAACTCGTCATATTCTTCACCGGGATTCCCTGCAACCAATTAGAGTTATTTTAATTTAAAAATTAATTTAAAATTTTCAACTGACATCATATATTTAAAGCAAATATTTTTGCAAAAGTCATCATTCGATTTTGTTAAACCAACGCTAGGTATAAAACTTTTAGAGTATTGACCCTAGGTAAACAAAATAAGAACTGTAAATCAAAGTTTCTTATATTTCGCAGTCTGTTTCAAGATGGCCTGTTTTGCATTGTTTTTCCCCAAAATATTCCCGTACCAGGTATAGTTTGTCAGTCAGACAAATTTTAATAAAAAAAAACTGTTTCGATGATTACCCTTGCGATAAGCAACGGTATTGCAATCAGGTACTAGACGTTTTTTCCCGTTAATAACTTTGTTCACATGACTCTTCTGGAATCATCTCTAGTGAGCATTCCAAACTCATTTAGCCTGGTAGTAAAGAATACTCCTACGACGGTAAATTTCCTTGGTTCGAATCTGATCAGGACTTGTTTTTACAACGGTATGTATTCTGTTTCAAATTATTTGTTGCTTATCTTTTGTCGGCTTAGCCGCCTTATCTTGAAATTGTTTTTTTTTCTGCTAAGCGCTTTTTTTGTTGCTTTTAGCGTTTGATTTACTTCTGCTGTTCGAAATTTTAACTGCCTTGACTTCGTATTTTTTCTTTTTTTTTGTTTTGCTTAAAAGTATTCAATGCCAAATTGTTTCAGCCTATTCTTTTTATCGTCTTAGTGATCTAATTTTCTGTCGTTCAAGGGAAACAACATTTTTCTTGGTGGTTGTATTTTTACCATTTGGTTTGTTAAAAATTATTTTTGTATTTTTTGGCCTAAAACGCTTTGGCCTATAATATATCGGCTTAAAGGCTTCTTTTTGAATTATTTGAAGAGCAAAAAAAATTTATCTAATTTTTTTTGAAAGTAGACTTTAGATTTTGTTGCGGCGGAACGTGTGTCTGCTCCAGAATTGTCGGTTTTGTAAGTTTTATTTTGATGCTTAGTTTGCGTTCAATTGTTTGACTTCTTGGCATATTTTTAAAAGGTTTTTTTTTCAAGACAATAATTAGACAAATGAGGAAAGTTTTCGAGAGTTTTCTTATGGCTTTATCTCCATTTCTTTCGGTAAATTTATCGTGCGTGTTGTATCACAACAAAAGCAAGCTTTGCTTTGATTGTGTTTGTAAAATTTTTAAAAGTGCAGGTCATCAGTTCCAAGATTTCGGATTATTTTTAGTTTTTGTTTTCGATTGTCGCTTCTTCTGCAAGAAGTGATAGTCATTCGTTTTTGTATTGCAAATTCTCCGAAGCTCGGCTTCGCCTCTGTGTAAAAATTTGTTTCAACGATTAAATAAATGTTGCGATGATAAAAGTTTTGACTAAGCTTCCCCCCCAATTTTTATGGTAACCAATGCGGCTTGGCCTAGGTCCAGTTTTTGACAATTTTCTGGTTCAGGCCAAAAGACTTATTTCAAACTCACGTGTGTCATAGTGCATTTCTGAGCCCATAATATGATCTGTTCTTTGGCTTGTGAGGCACTTCTAACTAACTCACCTCCCCGAGTCCCCTTGAAGCATTTGGGGCAGTCCCGAGGGGGGAGAGAGTTCCTGAGCTGGCTTCATCGGGGGTCAGAGCGCTCTTAGTGCCTCTGAAGCAAAACAAGGTAATAAGATTGGGCATCACTTTAATGACCCTCAAATGAGGAATTGTAGGTAGAATGCATGTTTCACACAGGAATATAATAACAGAAGCAAAGATGATCAATTTGATACAACAAAACTTTGCTCAATTTATGTTGGGACTTCCAAAAATGAGCATAGTAACTCATATTCTAGACATTTTTGAGATTAAGTTATACATATCAGCGCTGCGGATCAACAAAAATCGAGAACGTGTTTCTTCATTCGAAAAAGTAGAACCAAAAAAGCACCTCGAATAGAATAGTTCTCAAAAATGGCCAACAAGCTGTGTGAAATAGATTTTTTCTGTTTCTGCGTAACACATGTTTTCAGTAACTGATTTAACGATCATAAAAATTTGAATACTTAATTAATGTTACGGTCTCTCTCGAAGGTTGGGAAATTACTTCAAAGAGTTACATTTTGGTATCGAGAAAAATCTGTCTCATTTCTTAAAATCTGATTTCTGACTCAGGATCTGATTCATTACTTGACAAAATTAACACAATTTCAAAAAATTGAAAAATTTTGTTAAATAAAAGTTCATTTCAAAATTTTACCTCGACTGACACTAAATTATTTGAACAACCGTACCCTCTCTGAAAGCATCAGCTTTTAATTGAAAGCTTTTACCAGATTACTCTGGGTCTGAAAAGGCCAATTTTTACCATTTCTAACCAATTTTTGCAATGGCGTGAAAATATTAGAAAGAAACATAGTTAAGGAAATTTGTCACACTAAACAATGCATTTTTTTTCTCGTTTTAAATGTTTTTTTTTCGCATAATCAACTCTGATAACCTTTTTGTTTGAGTTCAATTACCATTTTTACTCAAAGATACTATTTCTGTCTTCGAAATGTTTTCAAAATCGTATGCTATTAAAGCTCGCCGGACAGTTGACCTAAGCAAAGTAATAAAAAGTTTCTATGGGAGTGAACATTTTTTGAATAAGCCGATTATAAAAAGTTGATCATACAAAGTCAAACATTTTAAAAGAGAAAATTTCATTCTCCAGTGTGGCAAATTTTTTCAACCATGTTGTTTCTAATATTTTCATAGTTTAATTTTGTTCACTAGAGTAGAGGAAGGATCGCTCCTATTGCTGCGGTACAAAAGTTTTGTTTTTTGTATGCTCTTTTTGCCTGATTTCTAAATCTGAAATTAAAACCTTTTTAGGACAAAAAAAACAGATTTGTAAGAAAATGTGAATTTTTTTGTTTTTTTTAACGGAATTTTTGGAACAAATTTTGTTTTAACATAACATTATTTTCACAGTAACCTTCTACCCTTTTAGTTTACTTTTTAATGTGACGGTAAGAATTTTCACGAAGACTTTTGACTGGCCTCAATGGCTGTTCGGTGGTCGCCAGAGTAGACATCATCGAAGGTCTAGGAGCTGATCTAAAGGACGTAACAATCAAGTATTACGTAATAAACAGACATATTGATAAAATTCGAATAATATTGTTCACGGAAAACTAACTTATATGAAAATAAGAATGAAATTAATTTATCTGCTAAGATATGAAATCAAGTTTGATCAGATTCGTTGAGCTTATGTTTGTTCACATTGTTCTGTTTTTTTTTGTTTTTGATGCAATTCATGGACCGTTAGCTTTTCACACAAAAGTATTCATCAATTTTCCAGATTTCACAATTTTCATGTTTAAACTTCAAATCAAAAACAAATACGACAAAATCAGGAAGCAAGTGGTTATATCGAGGAAATGGTAAAATTCAGATTTGTGACTCAAATGTTTTGTTTTATGGCTTGAGCTGAAAATGTTGTATGTTCCATCATCGCAATTGTTTTTCCCGTTACGCTCTCTAGAGCTACTACAAAATCTCACCTGTTTGCTTTGTCCCCGGACAAAAATGTGTGAACTGAAAAAAAACAACATAAGTCACATTTTTTCAGATAAGTATTTTGTTTTTGCATTAGCCTTGAATGAAAATTACCACAAATTTTGCATGAATTGCAATAAAATGACCCATTCATCTCGATTATGTGGTTTGAGAATTCTTTTTTTGGCTCAAAAGATAGTTCTTAGTTTTCTTTAAACTATTCTACTTAACAAGCAGAGGGTTAAATGCGGCAATTGGGTTTCCATGATGCTCAAATTTAACACGAAGAGTCATCAAACACGAAGAGTCAAATTTAACACAAAGACTGGATCTTTTACCACTCCTTTTGACAAATGGAGGAATTCCTTACTAGCCAAAAGTTCTCATTAGTTGAATTAATCTTTTATAGGGCTGAATGTTCTTTAGTATGTCCTGTAGCATAAAATAGTTGAAAAAATAGCCCGTTTCTGAAGATGATGATAAATATTTTGTACCGGTTAAAAGTGAGCGGTCTAAATTCATTGCACGGTCGAATACCAACTGTGCATCGACTAAATTGATGTTTCAAAGGCAAAAAGTTTTGGTTTCTGGAACGTAAAGTGATGATTAAGATTTATTATTTTTCAAATTCACTTGGATCATGTCAGGAAATTGTCTCGCAACAGCTGACTTAGGTTTTCATGGACAAGCCTCAATAAGCTGTTTTTAACTTTTTGCATCGTTCTTGATGAGTTTCGTTGTACAAGAGACAGATTACTTAAGCTATATGTTATATATGCAATGAGCTCTATGTTATAAATTACTTAAGCTACCAAATAAATAAAGGCTATTATTAACATGATAGTCGTTTGCCTGTTGACCCGGGAGTCCTCAATGAAGATACTTCAAGTTTTTTAGCACTCGTCGAGGGCGTTGAAGTCGAAGGAGAAGGCGTCGCACCATTGAACCCGAGATCTTGCTTCTCTGAAGAAAAAAATAGCAGTATCTTCAGTGTGCATTCATGGGTTTGAAAAACTACCTTGTTTTTGTCAACAAAAATTTATAATATTCATAGCTGTAGTTTTTTGGTGGTTTATTTGTATCATAATAAAGTAAAACACGAGTAGTTTTGGATAAATACATGTAAAATATAAAATAGAGTATGTACGTCGACAGAAAAATGGGAATTTAATGATCGCGAAAGTTATAAATTATTTTACCGTCAGTTATGAAGCTTGCGATTAGCAAGTTGGAAAAAAAAAAAAATTTTCGGGTTAACAATTTGTTTAACAAAATCATTTGAAACATTTTAGAGGTTGTGTTGTTGACATACTCTTGGCAACATATACAATTTTTTTTTGAAAAATGGGAAGAACTTTCTATTCGGGTTTTTTAGTTTTTTTTCACGCAAAATCAGATACCACAATTAATCATCAGAATGTAATGAGTGAGAATGATATATCAATCTCAAACCCTTTCAGACGTGATTCTAACTACATTTAAAAATTGACAGAAACTTGTCCAAAGATTGAGAAAAAACAGGTTAAAATTTTTGTTTTTCAGTCGTAATTCGAGCGAATAAAGCGAGCTAGCAGGCATACACTAGCTTGTTTTAATAGCTTAATAGCTAACATTAGCTCAATTTAAACCATGAAAACTTAGTTTTACCCCAGTAAAAGTGGTTTTTTTTAGTTTTTTAGTTTCTTGGAATCAACATTCAAAAAATTGCAAAAAAACGTGATTTTTTTTTTTATTATTTTTTTTTTAGTTTTTGTTTCTTACTTAACTGTGATTGTCGAATATACCTAAGCTCTAAATTTTGTTCAGATCTTTTATCAAACCACGCAGAAAAAATGACATTAAAATGAAAATAAAATTTAAGATTATTTCTGATTATTTCTGTCGGCTTTTTAATTAATTTTTTGTTTCCCAAAACTTTCGGTTGTGTTTTTTTTTTAGATTGATAAGACACTGACACAATTTTTTGAAAGCTCAAAATCAACGCGCAAAAGCCTTGTCATAAAAAACTTCAATAAATTTAAACATAAAAAAAATCTTCTTTTTCCAATTTTTATATATTTTTCTTTTTTTTTAGTTCGCACTTCAATAGTAACATCGTTTAAAATATTGTTTGCTACTTTTTTTAGCATCATACTGTTTTCATTCTATACTTGTTGTATCTTAATTGGTGTCAAGCTCAGCGCCGCCTCTGTGTTTTGTAGTGAACTCCAAAACCACAAAAGCTCGCCGATAAAATCCAGTTTTGGTTCAAAACTTTCTGAATGGCGCAAAAACAGCGTTTGTCGCATTTTCTTTATACTATACCCTCAGTTTTGGACGATCTAATTGATTTGATGACAATTGTTCAAAACGCCCTTGACACAAAGCAGATCGAATAATTGTAAAACTAGGTACTTCAAGCCGAACAATTCCTTATAAAGTCGTGAAATATGAACAATTTGAAAACTTTTTTGAAAAATTTCTGAATTTCATGATCTTTCTTCACTATTTATTGGCGTTTGCATATAAATTAAGCCTCCAAATGATGTTCCGGAAATTTAAAAAGTAAAATATGGTTGGAGGCATTTTTCATGTTTATAAATTATGCATTTCAAAAACCGGCTGATGTTATTAACGGATGCGAATCACAAGTGGTGACTTGTCATGAATAACGCTTACTATGGACTAAACTTGCCAAAGTTTTAGAAAAGCAACATTTTGCAGATGATAAAATAGCGTTTTGGGGTGCTTGTAAAGTTTTAATTTCGGCTTGAAGTCCCTTCGGCTTGAAGTCCCGTCGGCTTGTTGTCCTAGACCCATACCTAAAACCTAGAAATCCGACGACTATTCGCTGAGAGCATGGCAAACTGGTACTCTTGATGTGTTTAACAGAGTTTTTGTTTATCAGATTTTAACAACACGTGGCTTGAATCTTTAACTTACGTCCTAATGATTCTAATCTGTCCTCGAGGGCGATTCTCTCCATAAAATCGGTTGTTTCGTCTAGTTAAAAATTAAGCGAAAATCAGTTTTCAGAAGAATAAGGTTACTGATTGAAAAATAATCAAAACGGTTTGTAATTCAGTTTAGTTTGACCAGTTAAACATTCAAGTCTGATTTGAGAAATCAATAAGTTATAATTTAACATGATCGAGAAAAATATACCGAAGCTCTCACTGAAATCTTTTGACTGC